TTTTCTAATAAAATGATAAAAATTACATTGGAAAATTTGTATCGCAAAAATAATAAATGTTAATGAAATAATTGAATTTAAAAAAAATGCGAGTTAGACGTCTTTTTTTAAGACTCACTTTTAACGTATTTTTAACTATTTTCGATATATGTTTGGACTATTCGATATGCTCATATTGTAATTCTCGAAATAACTTTTGAGATGATATAAACAATTTGTAGATTCGATTAGCGTACGATCGTCGGAAAATTTTTAAAATTTAGCATGTTATCGAAATTCAAATTTATTGGTATTTGGTGGAGATTAAAATTATTTTTTTAGTAAATTTTGATAAAAGTTAACAGTTATAAATTTTATGAAATATGTTATTAAAANCTAGCATGTTATCAAAATTTAAATTTATTGTGATTTTGCCTATGTTTGGTGGATATTAAAATCATTTTTTTAGTAAATTTTGATAAAAGTTAAACAGTTATGAATTTCATGAAATATGTTATTAAAATTAATTGTTCACTTTGATTTAGATTAAAATTTGGATTTCTATCAATACCAAACACGAATTTATAAAAAAAAAACTCAAAAGTTTGGGGGTGGGGCGGGGGGACTTGCCCCCTGGACCCCCGCAGGTCCGCCCATGGTGGTGCTAGTGTATTTGAGAGTTATCCTCTTTTGAATGTTCAACGAGTGAATAGTTTCTTTTGAACTAAACATTAGAATTTACGAGTGATAAAATCCTTGCATTTTTTACTTTTTTTATTTTTTTTTATTTTAAGCACCGGTACTATTTGGATCTTGTTTTGGCACCTATAGGAGTTTCGATTATAATTTTGTGATACTCAAGTTATGAGTTGATGAAAAATCGTCAATTTGTCCATTAATATAACACGTGCAAACCTTGTGAAAATAAAGAAGGAAAATAGAAGAGTTAAAAGAATAATCTACATCCCACCCTACTTGGGAGACGTTTTGGAGTGGGGTTGAGGATTTTATTTTTTATTCAAAATAAATCTATAAATCGTTTTTCAATCGAAATTTGACTTTTTTTTAAGTACAAAAATTATTGAGAATTTGAGGACTTACGTGTTAAGAACTCAAATTCTACATACATTGTAAAGATCAAGGACTCCGAATGTTACTTTTACAAAGAACAAATAAGAGCCGGAGCACAGTAGCAGTGCTGCAGTGAAGGAGTTCAGCACATAGAATAAAGGTAATACATCCATCCATCCATCCATCACAAGTCTCTTAAATATCCAGTTTTGTTGTTCAGATCCTTTTAGCAACCACAGGCCCCATGACCCCACCTATCCTTCGCCGGAACTTCAAGTTTTTTTCCCGGCCGACATGACCACATCCTGGCCACCCACCCATCACTTGATTCAAAAAAAAATTCACTCTTTACCGTTAAAGGTCGTACTTTTTTTCTCGTTTTCTTTTGGCTTACGGCTATGATTATGTAATTTCGAACAAAAGGGTGTTTTTGAATCAACTTCTTCTTTAATTTTTATTATCAAATGCATGAACATGTGCTAATTATTTGTGGATTTTATTGTACTGAAGTACAAGTGCTTTTTCTTTTTTGTTTCTCTAGTAAAGATTCGATCTTTGGCGACGGATTTGGATTTGGATTTGGATTTGGATTTGGATTTGGGGGATTTGGATTTGGATTTGATAGATAATAGGGTTCTTTGATCTTGAATGAGTTGGCATGCAATGGACTGATGGACGGCTTCGATCGAGTTGAATTTTGAATAATTAAAAGGGAAGAAGGGTTCTCTAAATAATGTGATTGGATATATGCAGTCAATACTGTGTCGGTTCAATAATCCGTACAATTAATTTTTGGTAATTGGTTAATGCAAATGCAAGCTAAGCATAATTAAAATTTTGGATTATTTTTGATTAATGTCTTGTACGGATAGTATCACATGATCCAAACTTGATATCTACTGGTGGTTGTGATGTTCTCAAGTATTTTTCTTCCTCTTTTCGCCTTACTCATTTGGGTTTTTCTATGGCGTTAGATCAATAGATTTCTCATTTCAATCATATGTCACAGAACTTTAGATAATTATTTGCTCTAGATTGCAACCAACCGAGGCGTGGCTGAATATGAATTTACGACGCTTCTTGTAATCTTTGCCGATATTATTTATCGCGTTTTAATTATGGATTAACAGACTACTTGTGGAATTCACCAATAAATGAAGATGATATTCATTTTGGTAATTGAAATTTATTCACCAATTCAATTCTTTGAGCATCATTTACTAGTACGCTTTTGAAACTTACTAGTACTGTACAGTGTGTATAACTTAACCCCCAAAAAAGCAGATAAACTAATTACCAATTAGTATATAAATGGGAGTCTATCATTTATTATCTTGTTGGAAATTGAAACTTTGTCAGCATGTTTAGTGAGATGATTGGATTGCATCACACAGTGCTACAAATAAAAAGAAGCTGAAATCATGTTCATAATACTACATACCAAGGAATTGTTTGAGCTCCATTTTTTTTTTTTTTTTGAAAGTTAGATCCTGTAATAGTAATTTTTATGGAGAATGTGTGGTTAAAAAGTAGGAAATTTTTTTAGATTTACGTAAATTATCTTATTAGGAGAATGTGTGGTTGAAAATGAATTTAGGGAAAAATGAATGTTTGAATAATGGGTTCAAACCGTGGCCAAATATGCAGCATGTCTTCCTAATGCATTGCATTTGGAAGTTTTTTACCATATTTTCCCAAAGTAGACCATTGCAATTGGCACATCTATCAGCAAATTGCAAATCCAAATTTTTTTCATCTTCTTTCCACGGTTCCACCACAGGACCCAAACAACAGCATAGTGAAAGGGGGAAATGCTTGGATTCTGGAGGATAAGCCAGATGAAGTGACAAGTACTCAATATCTTTTGACTACAGTATCGAGACGCATTAATTAAACTTTGTTTCCAGCATTGTTCAAAATTAAAATTAACATGACACATGCCATATTTTCTTTATTGGATAATATATCAATTCTTTCATCATCTTTTCGCAATCTTCTGTAATGCAGGATGAAACTGGAATTTACAAAAATTTACTAGAGGAGACCACTCACCGAGCCAGGTTAAAACTTCCTCTTTATACTGCTATCCGTGCTGGGCTGGCCTTTGCCCCTTTATTTTCTTGCCCAGTCGAGCTCAACAGGATGACTTTTGCTGGGGAGCCAGCCAAAACCAAAAGGCAAGCTCAGAAAAGTGCTGCAATGGCTGCCTGGTTTGCGCTGAAAAACTGTATGTATAGTATCTAACTGCTCCCAATTTCATTCTTTATGGAAAAATGTGGCAAAAAAAAAAAAAA